GGTGTGCAATTTTAACAACTGTATTTTTACCTTTATTTTTTAAATGCTTTTTATCTTGTCTGTAAGCCGCCCAGAGTCCCATGGGATTGGGCGGCATACAAATTTTATTATATTTCAAATTTCAGCCCCCCCCTCCCCGTTTTAATGGCAGCCAAAAGCAAATAGCGAAACAGAGGCTAACACTGCCGCTTTGTTCTCCAATGCCATAGTAACAGCTCTCATTTTGGCATCCTCCAATGGAAAATCCTCTCCATATTGTTGCATGTAATTCCAAACCTGGACCAGGAAAAACCCCAGCTCTTTGGGATCCCCTCCGTACTTCATTCCAAGGGGAGGGATTTTTGGCATTCAGCACCTGTGGGGGCCCACTCCCCCCCTTGGAGGGGCTCAAACAACTGCTGCTGCTGCGGCTGGGGCTTCTCCATCCCAACCAGCTCTGGTGTCTGCCCCCAGGGCCGTCTCAGGATTAGATAGGTCGCCCGCTCACCTCTCCCCCTGCTCGGCAAATTCAATCTCCCTCTCAGCGCAGCTTTCACGGAAACGGCGCTTCTCCCACACTTCTTGAAGAAGTTTCAAAGCATGGGTCATCATGTTTCTCTCCGCTTTCTCCTCTGTTACTTCTGGTAGCTCCATTCTTTCTTCATTGTCCTGGTCATCGTCCATTATTCTTTGTATTATATTTTCCAGTTTTTGGTCTATATGGTCAAATATTTCCTTAATGCTTTCAAAAAGCTCCATTTTGTTTAGATTCCCCTCACTTCTGTCTTGTATTGTGTCTGTGTTTAGTAAATCTCTTTAGTCCTTTGAATAGGACTGGGGTGGCTACCCTCAATTTTGCTGGTAAAATCCCCTCGATAACTGCTTGGAACCATTGTTGTAGCTGAGGTGGGAGACTCCGGTAAACACAGGCCTGCCAGAACTGGTGGACCAACAAACATTCAGGCCAGGACTGTAACTTACCAGTCACCCTGAGAAACTCTTCCACATACTCCACTGCTGGCCGGCCCTTTTGCTTCAGTGCAAGCAGGTTCCCTTGCCCTAAACCTAACCCTTCCCGTGCATGGGACCCATCCTCATACGGAACATGAAGTGCGTCCAGAAAAAGTCCCATGTCTGCCAGCCCCCTAGCGTGTTCGCTGTGCAGGTGTAGCCACCCTCTCAGCAGCATCACCTTCTAGTGCTGCAGTGATGATTACCATTTTTGTAAGGTCCTCAGCCACATCTTTGATTTTTACTAACGGAACGGTTCCCGTTGCCATTCGGAGCCAGACGTTGGGAACTGGGGAGCTAGGGCTACGTGGAGCTGTGTAGCTGTGTGTGTGTATGCCAGAGATTAAGAGCCGAGCGGTCTGTTCACTCACCGGGAAACGCTGAAGCTTACATCTGAGCTTCTTAGGTCGTGGGTAACCCCCCCCCCCCCCCCCTGTTGCTGTTGCTGGATACCGCGCTGTTGTATGTCAGGGCTGTTTGAGTTATGCTGAAAACAATTGAGCTCTG